CCCTGGGGGGGTGGGGCGCCGTTCCCGCCACACTGAGGAGGCCCGGAGTGGTGCCGACGGGGAGACCCAGCCCCTACTGCACCCCACATGCCCAGGAGCAGGGGGCAGCAGTGGCAGTGGGGGGCGTGCCCACATCCCCCGCAGCCATTCGCACCCACTGGCCGTGAGTGCCAGCTTCCCCAGCCAGAGCCGCTACATGGAGTTCTCAGACTCAGACTCGGAGGTGTGTGAGCGAGAAGTACCCTGCACCGAGGCCTCACCCCCGACACCCCCGGCCCCGCCCCCAGGCAATGGGCACAGCTGCTGGTACTCTCCCCCTGATTACTTCTGTACTTACCCGTCCCGAGAGCGCCAGCTCTTCAGCACCCACAAGCCTTTGCGCTATTGGTCAGCCGACAAACTGGGCCCCTGCCACTCCTGCCACGGGCTGTGCCAGCACTGTGCCAGCCTGGAGCTGCTGCCACCTCCCACCCCACCGTGCCGCAAGGAGGCTCTGCGCTACTTCAGCTGCTCGGAGGAGCGTCTGGAGCGCCGGCTAGACTGGGAGCACCGGCGCTGCGGGCACTACAGCTGCCTGGCTCCCCGGCACCACCACGGCCTCTACCGGCGCTGCCATCACCACCACTCCTGCGAGCTGGGCCCTGCCGGCTCCATCCTGCACCCGACTTCCCGCAGCCTGGAGGACCTCAGCTCCTGCCACCTGGTGCGCTGTGGCGTGACACCCCACCGCTTCGGCTTCTCTCCCCCTGAGTGGCTCCCGCGTCGTGTCAGCCGCAGTGGCGAGCTCTTCACCCGGCGCGGCTCCGCCCACTTCTCCAGCCTGGAGTCGGAGGTATGACGCAGCCGTGGACCTGGGGGAAGGGACAGGGGGTGGGGGTGCTGATGCCATGGACCTGCAGGGAGGAGTGCCAGGAGTGTTGATGCCACAGACCAAGGGGGCACCATGGCTGGTGATACCATGGATCCAAGGAGAGGGAGGGACCCAGGGATGGGTGGACAGTGCAACGGCTGCTGGCACCATGGACCCAGGGATGAGTGGATTGATACCACGGCTGCTACTGCCACAATCCTGTCAAGAGAGGGCTAGATTATGGGCAAGAAGAACAGCACCACATTCATGAATGCCACAGGCCTGGAGGACATGGCAGCTAACAATGCCACAACCCTGGGGAGAAGGGCCTGTTGCCACAGATGGATAACAGAAGCAGGGGGATGCTGTGGCTGCTGACCCAGATGCCAGAGGGATACAGTCATGGTGGTTTGTGCTGCAGACTTGAGGCAGGGAGGGGGATGGTGCCACAAATGCCAAGCCTGTGGACCTGGGGGGCACAGTCACTGATACCATGGACACAGCAGGCACAAAATCACTGTGGACCAACCCATACGGAGCATCTATGTCACGGACCAGTGTCTGAGGTGCCTGCCACTGAAGCCATGGACATAGGACAAGGAAAATTGATGCCTCACAACCACAGCCAGCAGGGTTGGCCATCACCATCATTGGCACTCTGGCCTGGGGAGGGTGGTTTTTGCCAGCACCTTTAATACCACGGAGCCGTAGAAGAACAGCGCCAGCAATAGCACAGAGCCAGCAAGAAGTGGCCCTCCACTGCCCTTGTAGCTAAGCTAAGTCATGGGAGCCACCACAGGGCCACGGATCCTGCCAAGGTGTCACTGACCCCCAAGCCCACAGACTTGCCGTAGGAGGGGCTGCCACAGGTACCACGGACCAGGGGCAAACAACATAGCCAGCATCACTGATACCATAGAACCCTGCACCACTGAGGCCACAGGCTGAGCTGGGTGCAGGAGGAGGAGTGACACCATGGACATGGGCCATAGCCCAGCCTAGTCACTGCCCTCCAGCTGACACTGAACCCAGTCCAACAGACAGGATGGGCTGGCACCATCCGCTAGCCAACAGCTGCCCTAGCACATGGCAGTGGCAGCTGGGGAAGAGGGGAGGGCTATTGGCAGCCCCATAGCTAGGCTGTGATTTTTTTTCTCCAAAGGGCTTTTCCATGCGGCATGAGGCGGGGAGGAGGCGCGTGGGACCCGCAAGCACATGGCAAATGGGGGCAAAGGGGTATCCCCACTGGTGGGGACAGTAATAGGACTCTTACCCCCAGGGCCCTGAAGGGTCAGCCTGCTTTGGGAGGGATGGAGGGGAGGACACACCCATGAGCCCTGCGGGGTGGAGAGGGGGCATCTCCTGTGTTCAGACGGCAGGGGGCACTGCAGGGCTTGCCCCTCCCAGCCCCCTTCACACACCCAAACCGGTCATAGCTGTTCAGACTTTTTAAACTTTATTTTTTGGGGATGGGGGGAGGGAGGGGAAAGGGAGACGAAACTGTGATCCACACGACGGAACCGATACTGTGATCTCCGCGGCACCTTGCCTACCGTGCCCACCCCCAGCAACCCCTCACCTGAAGCCCCCATGGTTCTCGCCCACTGTGCCTGCCCCCGTGGCCTCCACCTTCACCCCCAATGCCCCTGTAGCCCATCTGCTCACATGTGGCACCTGCCCCTGCAGCCCTGTGCCCCACTTCACCTCCTATGTGTTGCCGTTTCTTGGGGTTTCTCTTTTTTCTTTCTCCTTCCCTCCTCTCTGGCATTTCATGTGCTCCCCTGTCTCCAACATCCATCTGCCCATCCTCCTCTCCCCTGTTAGTCTTTTCCCCTCTTCAGTCCATCTGTCCATCCCTTCTTCTCCTTGTGTCTCTGTCCTTCCACTGTGTGTGTGTGTATGTGTGTGTGTGTGTGTGCACGCGTCTCTCCCAAGTCTTTCCCATCCTTCCCAGTTTCTCCACCCCTTGTCTGTCTGTCTATCCTTCTCCCGACTGTCCAAACATCTCTCCTCTCTGTCCCCTCTTAGTGCCCCTCTCTGTCAGCCTCCTCCCTGTCCCCATATCTGTCCCTCTGTCTCTGCTCCCTCCATTGCTTTCTCAGT